ACGTAATACTGACCTGAGAAATGTTTTGCATTAGTTTTGAGGTAAATTATCACTCATATTTGTAAGAAAAGTGAGCAAAGATTAAAAACGTAATTGTTGAAAATAGATTCACTTTACTTCCTAGCAGTCTAGTTCCTGAAATTCCACAACTCCCTTCTGGACCAGGCTCACCTTGTTGTCGTTAAAGAAAACCAAATTCATAACGCCCCCGCCCCCCAAAAAAAAACCCATCCACAATTCCACTTTAGAATAATTTTTGCAAAATTTTTTACTTCGCTAACAGCCTAAAGCAAAGATGACCAAAGTTTTCATATGCAGACAGTACAGCATCTGTTGTGTTGCCATTTTGTGGCTCCAAAAATCTTGTACATCCTGAAAAATTAAATAGCTCATCTTTCTATTAACTTGCTTTGTACTTGTCATTGGAGTAACAGCATTTACTGGTTCGAAATACAATTTTTCATTTCTAAATTTCTCTGAATCTCTCTTGTGCCAGAGACACAGGAAATAACCCTTCTCTAGTTTGTGTATATGTTAGTAGTGTATTTGGACCATCATTAGGACTCAAGAAATGAGATCTCAGATGCTTCAGCTGCTGATTTGCTAGTACCTAAAGAACTTACTCTAAAAATCAAAGACAAATAAAGTGATTACTGCAAATATTAGCTAAACTCATAAACTAAACTCCCACACTTTCCCATGGAAAAATGTTAGGAACATACAAACTGAATTTCATCTTTGTCATAAAAAGAACCAGCAGGTGATTATTTGAAACAGATGTGAAAACGTCACTATGTCCCACTTCAACAGTTGCAGAGGAAATGGAATGATGAAAAATGAAAGAGATAAGCATGAAAATACAGGCTGCCAATTTTGCCTTTGATATACGATAGGCTACTCTATTTGAACTACTCTTACTTTTTTCTACACGCTGTGGCCTTTTTTATTTATCAAAACAACCGTTGAGTACCTAAAGATCGTCATTATTACGGGGGAAAAAAGGCTGGTTTTATAAGGGAAAATGCTTTTAAAATGAAGGACTATCAGAATGAAATCTAAGCCAACTAGCTGTTGTATGGTTATACCACATTTGTGGCTTAAATTAATAAACTCCATGAAAATTTAACACACAAAATGTAGGTTTTTTGGATAACACAAATTCTCCAGTATGTTTATAGACAAGAAAAAACAGAAAACAGACATTAACACAAATGATATTAAAAGCCACTCCATCCACATTTTTTAAATCACACTGAACATAGGGAGATTATTGAAAAGACGGATGGACAGTGCTTTATCATACGTTTTCTTTAAAAAGTTTTGCAAAGCTATAAAAACACTGGTAAGATCATTACAAATTATTTACTGCAACTCAAAAGAGAAAATAGGAAATTGTTTAATGAGGAAGCCAAAGAGTATGCTTTCTGAGAAAAGAAAGAAACAAGAGAAGCAGCTAAAATAAGGAACTAATAAATAAATAAAAGTGTGACATTTAAATATTTCCCGACCAAATATTAGTTTCTTTCTATATGAAGAAGGAAGTTATTCAGTGAGAACTTGAAATTGTCCAATTAATACTTCAGTTTGTAATTTTTATTTCAGACAAGTTTGAAGAGCATTAAAAACAAAAGGAGAAAAGGTTAAAATTCACATCTCTGCAGCTAGTAGAAGAGCAGATTGTGAAATTCTACTAATATAGGAGCAAGGAAATATTTTTTTTTTCCAGGTAGTTTATAAGTAAGAAAACGTTATTACTCTGAGTTTCATCAAATACTGGAACAGGTTTCCTGGAAATGATATGGAGTCCCCAAACCCTATGCTTTGGCTACTTGAGTAGGTCCTCAGAAAGAGAGGGTAGGGTTGGATTGAATATGAGGAAGAAATTTGTCACTGGGAGGGTGGTGAGACACTGGCACAGGTTGCCCCGAGAAGCTGTGAACGCCACATCCCTGGAAGTGGCCAAGGCCAGACTGGATGTGGCTTTGAGCAGCCTTGTCTAAGGGAAGGTGTGCCTGCCCATGGTGGGTGGGGCTGGAACGGGATGGTCTTTAAGGTCAGAGAATCACAAGGTGGGTCAGGTTGGAAGGGACCACAGGGGGTCATCTGGTCCAACCTCCGTGCTCAGGCAGGGTCATCCTAGAGCACACGGCACAGGACTGCCTCCAGACTGTTCCGGACCAGCCCGAGAACAGAAACTCCACGTTTCCTCATCCCACTCCATCCCGGAGCTCTGGGGCGCGCGGGGAGGGCGGGGCTCCCGCGGCCAATGGGAGCGCGCGGCTGGCGGCCGGAAGTGCGCACGCGGCCCCGCCCCGCGCCAGGCGGAGCTTCCCTTTCCCCTTCCCGTTTCCCACCGCCACGCGCGTCGGGATTGTCGCGCTGCTCCTTCCGCGTCGCCCCCGCCGCCGGAAACCCGCCCGTGCTTCCCGCGCTTCCCACTCGGGCGGCGCGGCCGCCGGGTCGCCGCCTTCTCCCCCGCCCCTTCCCGGCGGAGGTGGTGCTGGAGCTGGAGGATCCCGCGGGGTGGGTGAGCAGCTGCCGCGTCCGGGAAGGTGGGCAGGAGGGAGAGGAGGGTGGCGGTGTCCCGGCTCCTGCCGGGAAGGGAGTCTGGAGCCGCCCCTGCACCTCTCGGAGGTCGCAGGAGCCGGGCAGGCACGCACAGGCCCGGGGAAAGTAAATACTGCTGTCTTTGAATGCTTCCCAATCCAGCACGTCCCTTTCTTCAGTTATAAAAGGCGTTTGTGGGGTCTGTTTGTTATGTGATGTGGAGTGATTCTGGGCACGAAGCTACTGAGAGCGTGGATGGAGTTTAACAGTGATGTACCTTTTTGAATGTTTCCGGGCCCGATACAAACGAAGACAAGGTTATATTGGGGCAGGAGGTGGCGTCAGTAGCTGTACATTTATTTCTGTAGAAATCTTCAAAGACAGCAAGCCTTTCTAGGCTGTGGAGCAGGCTTCAGACAAAACAGACAGACTCCAATTTTTATCAACTAATGCCTTTCTATTAGGGAGAGAAAATCTCTAATAGATGTTTGAGGGAGTGGCTCGTTCCCGGCATCCCACTCAGGGATTGTGCCACATCCCATATTCGTTAATGTCTTCTTGCTTAACACTGGTGTGGAGTTTGTAAACACAGCAAATCCTGTTGTCATCAGTTTGTAGGTGGCTGTGTTGGTTCTGTCTCAGTAGGTACCTGCCAGGAAAGTGTGCTGTGAGGAAAATGATGTAATGCGGAGAATGTTGAAGGTTTGGGCCTGAAATGTGTTATGTCTTAAATCCCTGGTTTAAAAGTGATTCATATTTTTGTTTGTTTAGTGATGAACCCAAATTGCAAAAGAACTTGGGTTTTGATAATGTTCTTGCAAATTATTTTCTCAACAGTTTTCATATGCATGGATATCACCTGAATCATCTTACCAGAGCTTAGGTTGTGCGTGAGCTTACCCCAACCATGAGTGGCTCCAAACCTGATATTCTGTGGGCCCCGCACCATGTTGACAGATTTGTTGTGTGTGACTCGGAGCTGAGCCTTTATCACATCGACTCTGCTGTGAGTTCAGAGCTCAAGGCAGGGTCCTTGCGGCTGTCAGAAGAAACTACGGCTACGCTGCTGTCCATAAACTCAGATACGCCCTACATGAAATGTGTGGCCTGGTATCCCAAGTACGATCCCGAATGTCTCCTTGCTGTTGGACAGGCCAATGGCCGAGTGGTACTTACCAGCCTTGGTCAAGATCACAACTCGAAATCTAAAGATTTGATAGGCAAAGAGTTTGTTCCCAAACATGCACGGCAGTGTAATACCCTGGCGTGGAATCCACTGGATAGCAATTGGCTGGCTGCTGGCTTAGATAAACATCGGGCTGACTTTTCAGTGCTGATCTGGGATATCAGTAGCAAATATGCCCCAGAGACTGCAGTTGCTACAGAGAAAGTAAGACTTTCAGCAGGCGATGCGGAATCAGGACTGGTGGTAACAAAGCCACTGTATGAATTAGGACAGAATGATGCTTGTCTCTCTCTCTGTTGGCTTCCACGGGATCAGAAGCTGCTATTAGCTGGAATGCATCGAAATCTGGCTATCTTTGATCTGAGGAACACAAGCCAAAAAATATTTGTAAACACTAAGGCTGTCCAGGGAGTAACTGTTGATCCTTATTTCCATGATCGTGTAGCTTCCTTCTATGAAGGTCAGGTTGCCATATGGGATTTAAGGAAGTTTGAAAAGCCTGTTTTGACCTTGACAGAGCAACCAAAACCCTTAACAAAAGTTGCATGGTGTCCAACAAGAACTGGACTGTTAGCTACTTTGACAAGGGATAGTAACATCATTAGGCTGTATGACATGCAGCATACTCCCACCCCTATTGGAGATGAAACTGAGCCAACAATAATTGAAAGAAGTGTCCAACCTTGTGAAAATTACATTGCTTCATTTGCCTGGCATCCCACAAGTCAAAATCGAATGGTAGTAGTGACCCCCAACAGGACTATGTCTGACTTCACAGTTTTTGAAAGAATTTCTCTTGCATGGAGTCCAGTGACATCCTTAATGTGGGCTTGTGGACGACATTTGTATGAATGTACAGAAGAAGGAAAGGCTAGTTCCTTGGAAAAAGACATAGCAACGAAAATGCGGCTCAGAGCTCTGTCAAGGTATGGTCTTGATACTGAACAAGTTTGGAGAAATCACCTCCTAGCTGGAAATGAAGATCCTCAGCTGAAATCGCTTTGGTACACTCTGCATTATATCCTTTATTTTACTGTAGTTTCTGTCCTAAAGAAGTACTATACCTTTGTATGTAAACCACTTATATGAAATGCATTAAAAAAATTAAATATAATGCAGCATGCTGCAAACGCTTTGCACATTAACAGGATGTGACTTTAAATTTTTAAAAACAGTTTTTAAAACACTTGGGCAAAATTAAGCTTCCTATACATGAAAATACTTATGAAGCAATATACTGAAGATATGGATCAAAAACTTACAGGAAACAAAGGTCCCTTAGTTTATGCTGGCATTAAATCAATTGTGAAGTCATCTTTGGGTAAGAATATTGTAATTTTGCTAAGTTCTGTTATAGCATGTTTGCAGAATGACCCACTTATTGGTCTATCTTTAATAATTGTTCAAAGAGGCTGTTTATAAATATTGAAACAAAGTATTTCTGTTTGTGTTTTAATAACATAAGTTAACAGTTTAAATTACAGTAATTTCCAGAATTTTCAGTGTTCAGCAATTATAAAAGCATAATATCCTCAGAAGTAAATCTTTGAACTATATCAAGCATTTGAGTCTTGACTGTGGCACTGAGAATTTTTACTCCCCACAAGACTATTTCATTTTTCAAAGCTCCACATCTGGATGTAATTCTAGGAATGTGACTTTACTGTAGTTACTGCTAACGTATTAAGTACGTTTGCATAACTGTGTTTAGATAAGCTGTCCTGTTCTGAATTGGTAGTTGCCCCTGGTGTATCACATTCTGCCTCTCATGCTCACTGAAGTTTTTGTTAGTATAATCTATAATTTGAATCTTCTCTATTCATTATATGACTTATTAATATGTATGCTCCTTGGAGCAAAAAATAAGTCTTCAGTGGTGGGAAAGCTTGTAGCACATTGATGCTGGCTAAGAAGAAAACTGGTAGAGCAGGTGCTTGACTGTGTATTATGTATTTTCATTTTCAACGTACTGAAAAGCCCTGTCAACTGAAACAAGAGGTAGAAGAAGGGGAAAAAAACTTAGTGGGGAATGTGTGTCAAGTTTAGGTGCCTTTTTTTTTTTTTCAGCAGATAGAAATAATTTTGTGTATGCTGCTCCTTCCTGTGGAGTTGTAAGCACTGTTAATTTGAAGTACTAAAAAATAACACTCAGGTTTTGCACTCTGTGTTATGATTGAAATGAAAGCCTCATGTTGTGATTGCAATTTAAATTGTGATTTAAGCATAATTTAACTTATTTCCCATTTCTAGGAACAACAGAGAACCTCAGGCACAGCAGGAGTGGATCTGATAGACAGGCAGATATTATTCAATATCTGAGTGAGGAGAGATACTTGGCTTTGCAACTCTGTGGGTGGATAAAGAAGGGAACAGATTTGGATGTGGAACCTTTTCTAAATTCATTGGAACAGGAAGGAGACTGGGAACGAGCTGCTGCTGTAGCACTTTTCAACTTGGACATACGGCGAGCAATACAAATTCTAAATAAAGGGGCTTCCTCAGGAAAAGGTGCGTATTGTGTTTAGTGTCTTTTATTTTGGCACTATATCAGATTAATTTTTTTTCCTATTAACAGCATAGATAGTCTGGAAGATAGTATGGAAGAGATGCCTGTTGTCTTATTAAGTTGTTACTTGAAGCAGTTATATTGGAGCTTGAGAATCTGACAATCCTGGTATTTCACTCCTCAGACTACCACGTCATACTGTCTAATTAAAATAGATCATATGTTTCAGAATTTCCTACTGATACAAACCCCAGAGAGACATACATTTGGAACTAGTGGGATTTTTTTAATGTGTTTACTTCTTGGCTAGATATGTAAATCTGCTTCTGTTGGACTGTATTGCCAGTGTGGTGGCTGTGGAATAATAAAAACATAATGTTTGGGATTTGCAGAAAACATTTGGTTTGGGGTAATATTTGTTAAGAGTTGCAGTGTATGATGGAAAAGTCAAGACATTGGAGCCAGAAGATGGAAGTGGTTTTGTTCTGTTTACTTGCCAGTATTCCTCCTACAGCTCTGCTTTGCATCTGTGTTCTCTATTAAATTAAAAAGACTATCTTGCCACTAAAGTGGGTAGGTAAGACAACACAAGCTGTTAAGATTCCTTTATTTTTAATATTTCCCCTTTTGGTGAGGGAATGAGTGTCTGTCTCTACTTTCCTTGGGGGGATTTAGAGTGAAGACATGCTATCTTCAATTCAAGAATAAAATTGAACTTTCTGACAGAATTAATATTTAGATGAAATAGTTTCATATTTTTAGGAAACTTCTTAATTTGAAACTGCTATATAACATTGTCATCCCTCAGCTAGGTCTGTTAAGTGATGGCTGGATATACAATCCTGTTTTTCACTTCTTCAGGATATGACTTATGATAATGACAATCTTTTTTGATAGCTATTTCAAAATACCAGAACCAGTGTGATGTTATTTAAAGTACAAAGAGCCTGTTGTGCATGTGGGCTTGTGACTTTTAGAGATGTTAACTTACCTGAACAGAGGCATTTAATGCAGAAACAAGTGTATACATACCAGTGTATGCACATTTATTTTAACTAGTGTTAATTCTACTGCATTTTGTCTTGCATCCTGACAAAACATTGTGTTTTAAATGGATGCTTTCAATTACAGTTTTAACTGGATTTTTTTTTTTTTAAGTTCTTAACTGTTTCACTGATTACTTTTCATAAATCAGGTGATCTGAACCTTAATGTAGTAGCAATGGCTCTGTCAGGCTACACAGATGAGAAGAACTCACTTTGGAGAGAAATGTGCAGTACTCTGAGACTGCAGTTGAACAATCCCTACTTGTGTGCAATGTTTGCTTTCCTGACAAGTGAATCTGGTTCATATGACGGTGTTTTGGTGAGTAAATTTCTGTTAGGTTAAAATTCCTTCATGTAGTAGGAGCATATAGAAATATGTACAGGAAGTGCTATATACTCCATGAATTAATCAGATTAGAATGTATTCTTTTATCCTGATGCTGGCAAATAGCATTTGTTTCTTCTAAACAGACATCTCATATTAGTGAATGTTGCGTTAGTGAACAAATCATGCATAAACAGCCAAAATATCCATTATAGTTCACACAGTTTTTAGAAGGATTTTATTTTTAAATTGGAGTTATTAAATCACTAGGAATACATTTTCAAAATAATTTAAACAGTGGGTAAAAAGGGAAGAGATTAATAGTGGAATTAAAAAAAGCTGAATAAATGCAGGGGAGTTTTCAGAACTTTCATCAAGCTAAATTTGCATTGAATTTTATTTTATTTTCCATTGTTTACTTGTTAAAATCACTGTGTAGGAACAGTAAGAGGAGTAAATTCACTTCTTCTGAAATCGATACAAAGTTGCCATGTGAAGAGCAAACTAAATCTTTAATCATGAGATACTTTGAATCTTTGGAGGAGTAACATACTTGATTCTTGGTTAGTGAACAACAGAAATACTTGAATCAGTAGGAATTATTTAGCCCAAAGTAGGACTCCTGTAGTGCAACAGGGTAATTGGCCCAAAGCTGTTGAAAACAAAGCTGCTATAATATGATGTTTCACAGTAATAAAATAAAGATTAGAATCCCGGAGAGAAACCTCAATCTTTTTTTTCTCTCTTCAAAAGAGAGTATTCTTGTTCTCTGGTAGTAATTTTGTAGTTTTTTACTGATGAATTAGAAACTCACTGATCATAAGGTGTTATTTGTTTGTTTTTTCA